GTTCAAGTACCAAGTAAAAAGTCAGTCAAGCAAGTAGTCTACGAGGGAGCCACAAGCAAGCGAGTCGTCGGAAGCAGCGCCGTGGGAAGAACACAAGGAGCAAGATCGCCACGTCGAGACGTTCGGGATTGGGACATCAGGAATCTCCTAATTGAGACACAAGTGGCTGAGTTCTGGAAGGCATCACGCGGCTAAGTCAAGGCGTTTGTTTTCCAACATTGGGACGACCACACCCTGGCGAGTCGCCCAGCGGGTCTGTCAGAGACAAGCAAAAGAGTCCTACGTCGAAGAACCGTCAGCTTAGGGAGGAAAGTTGTCTGCGACCCAGCGTACCAGCGGTAGATCGTTTTGCGGTTTCAAGAGGCGGCCGCCTGGAGAGCCCTGCGATTACCGGCAAAGTTCCCGAACAGCAACCGCCCAACTCCCCGAGTGCCAGAACGACGAGACACTGGTCAGACGACAGCGCAGAAGACATCGACAGCGACGCCAGCAGACATTTCCGGCAGCCACGTTACCATCGCCGCGCGGAGCTCATTGGGGAGCGCAGGAGCGTTGCGGACGTCACGCATTAGGGTGAAGCCGGGTGGAACGTTCGTCTGCGCTAGGCGTAAAGCAAAGTGAACTGCTAGACAGCTTCCTGGCGGTATCCTTGACTGTCAGCGCGATCTGAGCAAGAACCTAGCGGGACCGTCCGGGACAGAGCAAGGGACAGGTATTGCCTCGAAAGGCGTCGGCCTGGAGAGCAAGGCTTGTTCACCCTAGTCTGAGAACGGTGACGCTTCCCTAAGCCCACAAGGCCGAACTGCGAGTCTAAGGCGCAACAAGCGACCCCGTGGAAGCGCGTCGGCAAGCAAGCAGAGGCGGCCACTACGAGCGTCCCGAAACCCAGGAGCCAGCGGAAGCCGAGTCAACGCGTCGAGGAGCCAGAAAGAGGAGCGCCAGCAGCCGGCGGAACCAGAGCCAGGAGATACCGAAGTCAGCCCAATAAATCCCACTGTTACCATTTGAACCCTTTGTTTTCTCACTGATCTACGGGGCAGTCACGTCATATAAATTTGGTGGAACGAACACACAATCTTCTGAGCTAGCCGCACGAATCTCGTAGCGAGCAGACACAAAATCAGTTCGTTACAATTTATACGTTACGTTTTTTTCAAGTTTTCATTAGTTATACAATTTTTTGTTTTGAGCAATTCACTGATTGCGATTCCAATATCTCATTATTAGATTATAAATATTTATTATAACTATAGTATTATTATTTATTATTCATAAATATAACAAGAAAGGAAGTTAGCTTCGGCAAGCCGAAGTTTGTATACCTTTGCAGTTTTAAGAAATAATCAATGTTTGTAACAACATTTTTAAGGATTGTTGCTAGCTTCAGTGAAATTTGGGTAAAATTAAATTCGTAATGCTGAAAAGTTAAAATATTCTAAAAGAAAATATGATCAAAATCAACAAAGCACAATTTTTTAAAAATTCTTATTTCACTATTTCTCTGACCGTTTCTTTGACAGATATATGTTAGAGTCGTCCTATTTTTATTAAATTTAATTCGAAATTCCTAAAAATACAAAAAAAAAAGATATTCTTAATAGTGTAAGATAATATGTCAAAGACACCGAAGCTATGATTTGTTTCATATTATTTTCCCACCAATTTTCCGATCGTTCCTCTGGCAGCTATGTGATATAGTCGTCCGATTTTGATAAAACTAAATTCGAAATTCAGAACTAACTAAAAAATGTTCTTTCCAAGCATTGGAGGTTATATGTTAAAAAAACACCAAAGATAAATTTTTTAAATTTTTTTTCGATTATTCCAATGGGAGCTGTAAGATATAGTGGTCCGATCCTGCTGGTTCCGACTTATATAGTACCTGCAAAAGAAAGAGGACTTTTGGGAAAGTTTCAGCCCGAAAGCTTTAAAACTGAGAGACTAGTTTGCGTAGAAACGGACGGACAGACGGACATGGCTCGTCTAGTGATGCTGATCAAGAATATATATACTTTATGGGGTCGGAAACGTCTCCTTCACTGCGTTGCAAACTTCTGACTGAAATCAATATACCCTCTGCAAGGGTATAATGAATTGTTTGTAGTTTAAACTTCGAATTAAAACAGCAGATGAGAATTTCTACAGGAGTAACAAGAAATGAGAATAGTGTAGAAAGAGTAGAAGAAGTTGGAATTGCAATGGAAGTAGATGATTCGAATACAGGGCTTGATAATATTATAGTTGAAGAGGTTAATCATTTACATTCGCAGGAAATGTTAGATAGGGAAATGGCAGATGTTGGTAGTGACCTTGATTTGAATGCCGAATTAAAAAAATGGTATTCAAAGCATAAGCCAACAAGATATTGTGCAATTGATTTGATTACACTTCTTAATAAGCATAATTTAAAAATAAAGCCATTTTATAAATTTAAGGGCTCTAATAAGCCCGATATAATGCAAATAAATATGAGCTCCTATTTGCATATCGGCTTAACAAAGCAACTAAATAAAATAGATGTCTTAAAAGATATTCCGGATTTTTTAGCATTGATGTAAATATTGACGGACTCCCGTTGGGCCCAATTGTTGCCCATTTTAATTAGATTGAATAATATTAAAAATTTCCCTGTTTTGCCAATAGGAGTTTTTTTGGGGTATAATATAACCCTTGATTACTACATCACTATATGATCACTATATTAAATAAAAACGTTTTTGTAGAGTTTAGAGCAATTATTTGTGATGCACTTGCAAGAGCTTACGTGACAGGCACGCCTGGTCATACATCCAGCCATGGATGTACAAATTGCTTGCAGGTAGTCAAAAAAATTAATTATGTTTTAACGTACAGTACAAAGTGTGATGATCCCATTTCATACGAAGATTTCGTGCTAGAAAGTATCCTAGCCATCACACTTCAAAATATTTAAATGTTCAGTCCGCTTTTGAAAAGCTTGGCGTTTTAATGGTAACACAAGTTCCCCTTGATTGCATGCATCAGGTAGAACTGGGTGTCATGCGAAAGCTTTTACAAAGACTTTATAATAACAAAGTTGTCGAAAAATTGACAAAAATTGAAAAGGAAACTATTTCGAAATCGTTAACATCAATGAGTAAGTATATGTCAAAAGAGTTTGCACGCAAGCCGAGAACATTGTTAGAGCTCCTACGCTGGAAAGCCACAGAGTATAGACAGTTTTTATTGTATAATGGGATTGTAGCTCTTAAAGATACAGTCAGGAAAGAGCCATATTATGCATTTTTATACCCGTTACTCGTAGAGTAAAAGGGTATACTAGATTCGTCGAAAAGTATGTAACAGGCAGAAAGAAGCGTTTCCGACCCCATAAAGTATATATATTCTTGACCAGGATCACTAGCCGAGTCAATCTACCCATGTCCGTCTGTCCGTCCGTCCGTCTGTCTGTCCGTCCGGATAAACGCTGAGAGCTAGGCTATTGAGCTAGGCTATTGAGAATTGGCGTGGAGATTCCTGAGCTTCTTACGCAGCGCAAGTTTGATTCAGCAGAGTGCCACGCCCACTCTTACGCCCACAAACCGCCCAAAACTGTGGCTCCTACAGTTTTGATGCTAGAATAAAAATTTTAACTGAAATGTAATGTTCTCATCAATACCTATCGATTGACCCAAAAAAAAGTTTGCCACGCCCACCCTAACGCCCATAAAACGCCCACAAACTTCAAAAAATCGTAAATATGAACGTGGATATCTCGGAAACTATCAAAGATAGAGAATTGGGATTTCAGATTTAGATTCCGATTTGGGCGGTTTGTGGTATGATAAAAGAAAAATAAGAATATAAACAAAATATAACTAAAATAAGAAGTAAATACATATTTTTATACCCGTTACTCGTAGAGTAAAAGGGTATACTAGATTCGTCGAAAAGTATGTAACAGGCAGAAGGAAGCGTTTCCGACCCCATAAAGTATATATATTCTTGACCAGGATCACTAGCCGAGTCGATCTAGCCATGTCCGTCTGTCCGTCCGTCCGTCTGTCTGTCCGTCCGGATAAACGCTGAGAGCTAGGCTATTGAGCTAGGCTATTGAGAATTGGCGTGGAGATTCCTGAGCTTCTTACGCAGCGCAAGTTTGATTCAGCAGAGTGCCACGCCCACTCTTACGCCCACAAACCGCCCAAAACTGTGGCTCCTACAGTTTTGATGCTAGAATAAAAATTTTAACTGAAATGTAATGTTCTCATCAATACCTATCGATTGACCCAAAAAAAAGTTTGCCACGCCCACCCTAACGCCCATAAAACGCCCACAAACTTCAAAAAATCGTAAATATGAACGTGGATATCTCGGAAACTATCAAAGATAGAGAATTGGGATTTCAGATTTAGATTCCGATTTGGGCGGTTTGTGGTATGATAAAAGAAAAATAAGAATATAAACAAAATATAACTAAAATAAGAAGTAAATACATATTTTTATACCCGTTACTCGTAGAGTAAAAGGGTATACTAGATTCGTCGAAAAGTATGTAACAGGCAGAAGGAAGCGTTTCCGACCCCATAAAGTATATATATTCTTGACCAGGATCACTAGCCGAGTCGATCTAGCCATGTCCGTCTGTCCGTCCGTCCGTCTGTCTGTCCGTCCGGATAAACGCTGAGAGCTAGGCTATTGAGCTAGGCTATTGAGAATTGGCGTGGAGATTCCTGAGCTTCTTACGCAGCGCAAGTTTGATTCAGCAGAGTGCCACGCCCACTCTTACGCCCACAAACCGCCCAAAACTGTGGCTCCTACAGTTTTGATGCTAGAAAAAAAATTTTAACTGAAATGTGCTGTTCTCATCAATACCTATCGATCGACGTTTGCCACGAACACTCTAACGCCCATAACGCTTAAATCTGTCTACCGCCGGTGGGTGGCGCATTTTAATCTCGCTTTTCTGCTATCTCCATTTCCCATGGTCACTTTAGCTGAGTAACGGGTATCTGATAGTCGAGGTACTCGACTATAGCGTTCTTCCTTGTTTTTATTATTTTCTAATATTTTTAGACAAAGCTTATGGTAACGCTTCTTAAAAATGGAAGGCTGAGCCGTTCCATACTAAACGTGCTTTCAGAGAACTTGTTCTGTCTCACAATTTGGAGGGGGCCAGAACAAGAAGAAGCTCAAAGTTTAGCCAAATTTCGTACGCGCCTTGTTAAGTAAGCTTTTATTGGGGCCGAAAGAAACTATTGTTTGTAAGTTTAATTTTTAAAAGACTTCTGGGATTTTTACATTGAATGCCAAAGATAACATATCTTTTATTGTAAATAAAACTTACAAATAACGATTACTTTCGGTCACTCGTTTTTATTCTCGTCCCGTTCTATTTTCAAAACTAATTTTTCTTCCAATACTAGATGCAATCGCTCTGGTGGAGCCCTCGGAACCTCCCGAAAAGGCACTGCAAAAGGCAATGAGGTGCGTTAAAAACTTAAGTGGCACAAAAAAAAAGGCAATGCCGGCCCCAGATGCTGAAGAGCCAACGACCCCGATAACACCGGGAACCCCCGAGCTAAAATTTTAAAACAAATAAATAAAAATAAAAAAATTACAACCAAAATTATATTTGCTGCTAAGCGCTCAACGTGTGCTGAATGTGTGCTTTTTCCGCTGCTTAATTGAGCGCTCAACATGTGCTGAACGTGTGCTTTTTCTGCTGCTCAGAGCATTTTGCAGTGATTGAGTGCTCAACAAGCGCTGAATGGTACTGCAGGGAATATACAAAAGTCACTTGGATAATTGTGCACGCATACATTCATGTTTGTATGATTTTTTTTATTGCCGAAACTCGAAAATGGCGGAGTCTTACAGAAACGGGACTATTGAAAAAGAAGAAGAGAAGAACTCGAAGTATGTTTTTCTTATTACACTTGGAAATCACTTGGCACCAAAAATTTGGTGGTTGTTTTCATACACATGTGTAAAGTGTTACGTGTACGACGCACTATGGGGAACTGGACCACTTCTTTTGGCCAAAACCCATTTTTTAAAAGTCGTTAAAAACTGGTGTTTTTATCAGAATGAGCACAACTGTTAAGTTATCACGAGGTGGCTGCGCTGATAAATCGCCTAATATTCTTAATAGTTTAAATTGTCAAAAAGTGTAAAACTGAACAAAGCACTTCAAATACCAACCAATCAGAGGGGCTAGTAACTTGTGTTAGTGACCTTGATATTGTGTTTATTGATTGTGGTGTTCGTATATAAGTGTGTAAGTTCTAACCTCAAAAAAAAAAACAAATTGTGAAGATAATTTTAATTTTTAAAAAGAGCTACAAAGTGATTCCAACTGTTTCCACCTCAAAACCTTTTTTTGTACAGTATTCAATTCTCATTAAGCTCAGTCAGTACAAAAGTGCACCTTTGCGTACTTTCTTCTCATCCAAGTACTGTATTTGTCCCACATTTTTGTCTGTTAAATGCCAGCTTCGATGGTATCTTAAAAAACAGTGTGCAATTATCTTTGTTATCAAATAAAGATTGTTTTAAAATTATTTTGCAACATTACTTAACGTTGATTTAAAGGATTTTAGTTTTTTTTTTAAGAAAATATAACAATTTCACAAAATTTTTTTTTGTATTATTTGGTAATAAAAAAAATTTTCTTTTTTAAGGAGGCATAACGCTTATAAATTGTATATATTTAACTCAAAAAACAAAACTTGTAAGTGTTGCTTCGTTTTTAAGTTATTAATTAATGCCACAAAAAGTGGTAAAATTCCCCATAGTGCGACGCTCTAATGCAGTTCTTTGATATACACACACATATATATGTATGTATGTATTCTGTTGCATCATCCTTTTAATTCGTGATCTCAAAATTACTCACATTTACAAATAAATAATTATCTACATATGATCTTACTTTGTTCTGCCACAACTCCAGTTTTTTTAAGAACTTTATAGTTGGACCGACCATTTATACTGGAATTTCTCCTCTGAGGTGCTCCCAATTCAAATATTTTAATGTCTGAACGCTAAACTTTCTTTCTATTATAAATAAATTTATTGACTTATCACAAACAACTTACAATTTATTATATATATGTATGTACTCACCAGAAAATACTTCAAGGAATGCTTTGCCTCTATTTTCAATTGCACTTTTCAACAAACAAAATGGTTAACAAATACGTCTTTACCAGCCAAGCGTCCGAAAAATTATAAAAATGCAATGTAGGACTTCCATAAGGTCAAATGAGCCATTCACTGCAAAAAGTTCATCACAGAGCCAATGAGGGCACAATTTGTATGAAATTTGTATCAGTGCTCAAAAACTAGCACGCATTGAGCGCTTTTTCGAGCACCCGTTCAGCACACATTGAGCGCTCGTTGCACATGTTGTGCACCTTTTCATCGCGTAGCAGTAAATATATTTAAAGTTTTATTTAATTTCTATATTTATACCCGTTACTCGTAAAAGGGTATACTAGATTCGTCGGAAAGTATGTAACAGGCAGAAGGAAGCGATTCCGACCCCATAAAGTATATATATTCTTTATCAGGATCACTAGCCGAGTCGATCTAGCCATGTCCGTCTGTCCGGATGAACGCTGAGATCTCGGAAACTATGGGAGCTAGGCTATTGAGATTTGGCGTGCAGATTCCTAAGCTTCTTACGCAGCGCAAGTTTGTTTCAGTAGAGTGCCACGCCCACTCTAACGCCCACAAACCGCCCAAAACTGTGGCTCCTACAGTTTTGATGCTAGAATAAAAATTTAACTGAAATGTAATGTTCTCATCAATACCTATCGATTGACCCAAAAAAAAGTTTGCCGCGCCCACCCTAACGCCCATAAAACGCCCACAAACTTCAAAAAATCGTACATATGAACGTGGATATCTCGGAAACTATCAAAGATAGAGAATTGGGATTTCAGATTTAGATTCCGATTTGGGCGGTTTGTGGTATGATAAAAGAAAAATAAGAATATAAACAAAATATAACTAAAATAAGAAGTAAATACATATTTTTTTTTTGTCTTTCGAACCGGGTAGGTGAATCTTCAAAATATATAAAGAGCGCTGCCGCTGTTATATGCCCGATTTTTTAAAACGCCTACAGACTAAACACCTCCCATTTTAAAAGAAAAAAAAACATTAAACCTATGAAAAATGAAACATGGGAATTAATACTGTACTATTTTTTGGAGGAATTCCTACGGCTTTTTTACTATACTCTGAAACTGGAAAACTTTCTAAATTTGAATCCTCCTCAAAAATTCCTTCACAATTCCTCATCATAAAAACTAAAAAGCTCTGAAAATGTTCTACCTAAAATAAATATTTCTCCTTCCTCTTCTATAAAGGATTCCACTTTAATTGGAACTATTTCCTGTACAAAACAAAAATTATCGGATCAACTCCCGCTCAATATGCAATTTACCATTTTTAATCTTTTTTCTTATATTTTAATCTGCGCCCTTATTTTATTTATCAGGCGTCCTCGTAAGTTTTTATATATATTTGAGCCAGAATTTGTGTCGGTTTTCGGACAAAACGCTTAAGAGCTTGCAAATAATTTTCAAATGCGTAGGACGAACGACTGATCGAATCTCCGACTACTATGATCGTTTCGCATACATGTAGCATGCCGTGAACATTATACGAAATACTGTTTTCGCCAAAAACAGATGGAAAATTGTCTACGAAAACATTTAACATTTCTTGGCTAATGATAACATTTCGTTGCCGTTGTTTTTCAGAGTATATGCACAATGTAATAACGAAAATGCATAATATTGCTCTTTCCTGACTGTATCTTTAAGAGCTACAATCCCAGTATACAACAAAAACTGTCTATACTCTGTGGCTTTCCAGTTTGGGAGGTTTGTGTTCTCGGCCTGCGTACAAACTCTTTTTGATTGATGCTAACGTTTTCGAAATAGTTTCCTTTTCAATTTCTGTCAATTTTTTTTACGACTTTGTTTTATAAAGTCTTTGTAAAAACTTTTGCATGACACCCAGTTCTACCAGATGCATGCAATCAAGCTTTTCAAAAGCGGACTGAACATTTAAATATTTTGAAATGTGATGGCTAGGATACTTTCTAGCACGAAAAACTTCGTCTGAAATGGGATCCTCACACTTTGTACTTTACGTTAAAACATAATAAATTTGTTGGGCTACCTGCAGCACTTTGTACATCCATGGCTGGATGTATGACCAGGCGTGACTGTCACGTAAGCTCTTGCAAGTGCATCACAAATAATTGCTCTAAACTCTACAAAAACGTTTTTATTTAATATAGTGATCATATAGTGATATAGGAAGCATGGGGTATATTATACCCCAAAAAACTCCTATTGGCAAAACAGGGAAATTTTTAATATTATTTAATCTAATTAAAATGGGCCACAATTGGGCACGGGAACTATTAAATAACGGGAGTCCGTCAATATTTACATCAATGCTTAAAAAATCCGGAATATCTTTTAAGACATATATTTTATTTAGTTGCTTTGTTAAGCCGATATGCAAATAGGAGCTCATATATATTTGCATTATATCGGGCTTATTAGAGCTCTTAAATTAATAAAATGGCTTTATTTTTAAATTATGCTTATTAAGAATTGTAATTAAATCAATTTAAGTTTAAATACCATTTTTTAATTCAGCATTCAAATCAAGGTCACTACCAACATCTGCCATTTCCTTATCTAACGTTTCCTGTGATTGTAAATGATAATCGAAGTGCAAACTGATAATACACAACAAACAATTGATTTGTCATTGCTTTCAGTAATCTATTTATATTTATGAATAATACATTATTTTAAGAAAATAGTTATTAAAAATATTTATAATGTAATAACGAGATATTAAAATCGAAATAAGTGAACAAAAATGTAGTAATTAGTTAAAACTAAAATTAATAAAAAAAACGAAACGATATGTATTTATTACGTTTGTTTTTAATTTTGCAATTTATCATTTTGAATATATAAATTATATACACTGATTGGCATAAGTATTTTGACAAAAGAAAAGTTAAATATACTCATAATTTAAACTTACTTGTAAACTTTTGGCATCAATGCAAAGGTAATTTAAATGCCGTTTGAATGATACAATACATTTCCTAACCCATTCAGTATTTATTGAAAAGGACGAATTTTTTTACGTACACAAAAGTAAAAATTGTGGTTTAATGTTATTAATATTCATTTTTAACGAATTTTAACAACAAACATAAGTATTTTTTCCCACCACGTGTTTTTTTTTTTGTAGTCTGGTGTTCCTCTTATTTGTACTAAATATTAACTTGTTTAATTGGTCTGCGACAGACTTACCTGGGAATCGTTTCGTTATCACTTTTAAACGACTGGTTTATTTAATTTATCAAAGTTAATTGCGGGTATTTCTAGCACCATCACATAAGTAAACGCCAGTGAAACAAGGAAGAGCGCTGTAGTCGA